GGCCTTTGCACCTACTGTCCCCTCTGCTGGGAACGCTCTTCCCCCAGAGAGCCTTCAGTCCCTCATCTCCTTCAGGTTTCTGCTCCCGAAATGTCCCCTTCTCAGGGAGGCCTTCCATGACCAGCTTACAGAAACCACCTCCCCTACCATTTTCTTGTTCACTACCTGGCATTTTATGTATTTTGCCTATTGTCTGCCTTGAAGCTTGCAACAAAAGCTGCCTGAGAACAAGGGGTACCTGGTTGTTTTGTTCACCAATGTATACCCCAAACCTAGAACAATCTGTGACACACACCAGAAACTCAATATTCTTTTTTTTTCTTTTAAAGTAAATGAATGAATGCATGAAAAATGAATAAATGAAACCCACTCTTTCTCTCAGGTCCCTTCTCAGGAACAGCCCCGCCAACTACTCTGGCACCTCTGACAAGGACCTGGGCCGCATCCTGGCCCCTCCCACCTCCTCCCCACCTCCACCACTGCCACTGAGCCCTCCCAACAGCCCTGTCCCAGGTTGGGCACCTCCTCTCCTTCCTCCTTGGTCTCTGGGCTCCGGTATCACCTCCTCCCACTCAACACCACAGAGCAGCCAGGGAGCTCTTCCTTAAAGGTTGTTCTGACCTGATCCTGCTCCTGCTCAAAGCCCTCCAGGGTTCCCCAGTGCCCTCGAGAGAAAGTCCAAACTCTCAACCTGGCTGCCAGGGTCAACATTCCTCCACTGACCTTCCAAACTTTAAGCTCCTGGTTTCTGCACAAATTGTTCCCTCTGCTTGAAACACGTTCGGCTCTTCTTTTCAGTTGGCTAACTCACCCCCTTCAGGTGTCAGAATCTCCTCCTCCAGGAAGCCCTCCCTAATATCTGGGTGGGTGAAAAGCCCCTTCTGGGCGCCCCCCAGACCTCTGAACTCCTGCAGCCCAACCCAGCCCACTCTGGGTCATCACTGCCTGAAGAACGGTCGGTGCTCTCACTGGACTGTGAAGTGTGGAATGACCTCAGGGCTGTCTCAGTCATAGCTATATCCCCTGCCACACTCAGCCTAGAGCCTGGCAGTGAAGACCCTGGTGAGTATTCATGTATGAATGATGGAATGATGGAATGAAGGAAGGAATGGCAGGCTAAGGCCTTTGGCTTTTATCCTGAGAGTGATGGGGAACCATGAAAACGTTTGAAGGAAGGGAGAGGTGAGGGAAACTCACTGCGGGGAGGAGAGGGGATGGGGTCTCCCAGGGCGGGGCTAGGGCACCTGGTAGCGCCGGATGAGGGCCTCATTTTTTCGCCGAAGAGCCTCGATCCTCTTGTCCAACTCAGCATCCTTCTCCTCCTTCGATTTCAGATCCAGTGTGGCTGACTGAGAGGAGGAGACAGTTGAGAAACAGTAAGAAAAACCCATACCCAACCCAGCACCATTTGATCCAGGGTCTGAGTCTCGGGTCCCCTCCTCCCAAGCCCCCTGACCCAAAGCTCAGATTCGAGACCCCACTTTCCATCTCACCATTCCACTGGCAAGGTGGTGCCAGGGTCCCAGCAAACTTCCCCTGTAGAATGTGGACACAGCACTAGGGGTTCCTGAGGGCAGAGGGAAGAGAAGGACTAAGGCCAATGCCTCCCCAATCTGCTTCCATCTCACCCATACCAGGGACTCCTCTCAAACATACATGCACATAAACACCACCAGCTGCACCCCCAAGAAAATTCTAGCCCTTGCTCCCACTCCCTCTTCTTGTGCGAGCCCAACACTTACCTGGAAAAATTTACATTCCACCACCTCCCAAACATTTGTGCCCACCCATTCCCTGCTTAAATACTAGAGTTGCACCCTCCTCCGGAAAGTCCTGGTCCTACCCTACAGCTTAAGGAAACATCCAACACTGCTCCCTTCCAAAGGAAGATTCTAGCCCGGCCTCCACACCCCGGTGCTGGGAGTTTCAATCCAGGCCTCCATCTCCAGAGAGCTTTAGATACATCCTCTTGCCCCCCCCCATCTGTACAAGAAGATTCTAGGCCCACCTTTCTGTGCCCACTCTGGTGCCACTCCATCCCCGTGAACACTCTAAACCCACCTCTTTCCCAGGAACGGTTCAAAATAACCCCACACAAAAACAAGCTCGAACCCCATGCCTACAGGTTGCCCCGACCCTGCGAGAACACTTCAGACCCACGCCTCACTCTGGGATGTCCTAGCCCCGCCTCCAACATCCCGAGAAAGGTACCACTGCTTCCCCAACAACCCCGCAAAGATTCCGAAAACAGGCCCGATGCCCACTGGCGAGGCTTCCTGGGTCTGGCTCAACCTTCCCAGGGAATACTCTACCCGCCCCGGCGCGGACAAAACTTCCCGGCCCGGGCGCGCCTTTGCAGGGAAAAGTTCTAGCCTCTACCGCGTCCGGAAGGCACGGCCCCGCCCCACGCCAGAACCAACTTTCTCGCCCCGCCTCTCCCGCTAGACCTCCGACCCCGCCCACACGCGCGGCGTTAATCTGACCCCGCTTCTGACTTTCCCAGCCTCTCCTCCGGCCCCGCCCCTGGGCCCCCAGGCAACAGCCTGAAGCTGCCCCCTACTCTCGCGTTATTACACCGGCCCCGCCTCCGATTTGCCCAGCCAAGCTCCCGGTCACGCCCCCTGCTTCCCAGCCACGCCTTGTCGCGTCAAACTACGGCCCCGCCCCCGGGAGCCCCAGCCGAGGTTCTGGCTCCGGCGCCAGCTTCCGCGCCAACGCTCTGACCGCGCCCCTGGCTCCGGCAAAACTTTCTGGCTCCACCCCCAGCATTCCACGCCAGTAAGCTGGTCCCGCCGCCCTGGCCCCCTACAACTTTTTGGCCCCGCCCCCGCCCTCGCGTCTGCCTCGCAAGTCGGGGCCGACGATCTGGACCCACTTCAAGCTCAGGCAGAACTTTCTGGCCCCGCCCCCAGCACGTTCGGCCAAAGTCCCGGCCCCGCCCCTAGCTCGCCGGACAATACTTTGGCTCCGCCCCCAGCCCGCACACAACTTTTTCAGCCCCACCCCATCTGCCCACCCACGCCCCGGCCCCGCCCACAGCCTGGCCCGCCTGGGTCCTGCCCACCCGCCGACGTCCCGCCCCACCAGGGCCCCTCTAGCTTCCCATGTGGGCGTCCTGTCCCCGCCCCCCGCAGAGTACTGACCCCGCCCCCGCGGGCTGCTGGCTGCCCCGCCCGCACCCGCTCCCGCTCCCCCCACGTGGGGCGCCAGGCCCCGCCCTCTCCGGGCGCGCTCCCGGCCCCCTCCCCCGGTCACCTGTCCCGGAGACCCCGCGGCGTCCGCGACTCCGGCTCCGTCGGCCTCTGCGTCCGCAGCTCCCGGGCCGCGCGCGTCACTTCCCGCCCGCACCACGTGAAGAGGGGAACTAAAGAGGGTCACTTCCGGTCCTGCTGGCCCGTTTCCGGGAGGCTTAAAGGAGCCGCGCCCCCGCGGGTGCAGGCGGGAGTGTGTATAGGTGGTCCTCAAGGGTATTCTGGAGGCTTGCTCAACTTCGTTTGTCCTAGATCACTTCCTTCCAGGGAAAGGAGACACCAGCCTCTCTCTGGCAGGCCTTTACCTGCTTTACCTGCTTCCTCTTTCCTGGTACCAGGAATAAAATAGGTCCCAGGTACGGGGCAATGATTCCTGGAAGCCTGACCTGCCAGGCTTGTGTGGGGGATTGGTGGAGAATCCCTCACCCCCCTGCCAGTGAAACCTTAGAGCTAGTTGTAGAAGCTTAAAATTTGCAATCGATAGAATCTTTGATTCATTCTCTAAATCTGCATTGAGTGCCAGGCTGGGGGAGGTGGGGTGCATGGGGAGGAGGGGAGTCAAGGCGATGAACAAGGCAGACCCCATCCCTTCCCTGGTGAGGGAAGGCACAAGTAAATGCGAAATAACAGGAACAGAAATGTGGGAGATACCTGGCAGAGGGGCCTCCGGGTAAAAAGTGGTGGCTATCCAGGCAGAGCACACACAACTGGTGCAAAGGCCCTGTGGCGAGTGAGCTTCGTGCATTCCAGGAACCGGAAGAAGCTCAGAGAGGGATCAGCTGGATTTTGTTACAGAGGCCGGGGGTTACATTCATTAACCAAAAATTCGATGCAATGAACCTGTCATTACAATTAATAAAAAGCATTGACAATTATAAGTGGGCAGACCGGATTCCCTAAGGTTGCTGGTAATTTTATCTTGTGATTTAAAACGGGAAAAAGTGGAAGTACCTGCTAATCCCTGGTCCCTTATAAGGTTACTGTTAACAGCTTTTCAAAGACCTTTTCTACATATACAACTGAATTTCTTGTAACTCCCCAAATACCTGCCAAGTTCACTATATCCTGCTTCAGTTCTTTATTCAGATGTTAGATCCACTCAGGGGCCTTCCTTGAAGCTGCCTGTTTGAAAATTGCAAAACCTCCCATCCCTTTTTTTATTCCCACTCTATTTTTCCATTTTACTGTTCACCCTCTGAACTATCCAATGTCTGTCTTACTTCCCTTATTCTGTGTCTCCTCCCCTGTATCATCTCTTTTTATTAGCACCACGCTCTAACCAACTGAGCTAACCGGCCAGGACTCATCTCTTTTTATAACTTGCTACATCCCCAGTGCCTCTAACAGGGCCTCATACGTTAATAAGCTCTCCAAAAAAAAAAAAAAAAAAAAAAGGAGGTTTACAAATGGGTCAATCTTTATTATATTTTTTCCCTTCTTATGAAACAAAAAGAAAAAGCATATGTGCTGCGCTGAGATCATGTATCTTTATTTTAACAATGGACGGTTGACAACCTTTAAAACTGCTGTGTGATATTCCCTCCTAGAGATGGGCCATAATTCGCCCTACCTGGTCTCATGGATGTTTAAGTTGTTTTCAGACTGGGGAGATGGCCAGCAATGCTGCATTGAAGTTCTCTAGGCACACATCTTTGTAAGTACATGACCTGTAATCTTGCTCAAAAAGGACTCAGAATATCAGGATTAAGACTACAGACTCTGGGCTCGGCACGCGCTCGGCGCCCGGCGGCGGAGGCCCAGGGAGGCGGGCTGGGTCCCAGCGGCGGGGCCCGCGAGCCTCAGCGGGTCTGGGGGCGGCGGTGCTCCTCGTCTGAGGGGCTCCAGCCCGACAGCGGCGGTGGCGCCCGCGGCCCCTGAGCGAACGGAGGACCAGGCCGGAAGGCGGCAGCGCGGCTGCGCCCGGAGTAAAACAAAAGAATGAAAGAAGTAGATAATCTCGAAAGTATAAAAGAAGAATGGGTTTGTGAAACAGGATCTGACAACCAACCTCTTAGTGATGATCAACAAAGAAATTGTGAATATTTTGTTGACAGCCTTTTTGAGGAAGCTGAGAAGGTTGGTGCCAAATGCATGTCTCCCACTGAACAGAAGAAACAAGTCGATGTAAGTATAAAATTATGGAAAAATGGATTCACAGTCAATGATAATTTCAGAAGTTACTCTGATGGTGCAAGTCAGCAGTTTCTGAACTCCATCAAAAAAGGGGAATTACCTTTGGAATTACAGGGAATTTTTGATAAAGAGGAGGTGGATGTTAAAGTTGAAGACAAAAAAAATGAAATATGTATGTCAACGAAGCCTGTGTTCCAGCCCTTCTCAGGACAGGGTCACAGACTAGAAAGTGCCACACCAAAAATTGTTTCTAAAGCAAAGAGTACTGAAGTAGAGAAAAATAATTTGTTGTTCAACTAAACAATCTGGAACCCATCACTAATGTACAGATCTGGTTAGCCAATGGAAAAAGGATTGTCCAGAAATTTAACATTTCTCATAGGATAAGCCACATCAAAGACTTCATCGAAAAATACCAAGGATCTCAAAGAAGTCCTCCCTTTTCCCTGGCCACAGCTCTTCCTTTCCTCAAATTGCTAGATGAAACACTCACATTGGAAGAAGCAGATTTACAGAATGCTGTAGTCATTCAGAGACTCCAAAAAACCGCTGAACCTTTTAGAGAACTTTCATAACATTGATTTTTGATACACTAAGTGGAAAGTTTGAAGAGAAATGATGGTTGTAAATGAACATGCAAACCAAAATGAGGGAAAGGAAGTCAGATTCGCTGGACTTTTAGTTCGGGCATGATTTAACTCCCTCCTGATGAGAAGATTTTTAAATAAGTACAAGTTAGGAAAGTGAACTATGACTGGAAACTATATTCAATGCACTTTTTCCAAAAGACTACTCAGAAAGAAAACTATACTTATTTTCAAATACCAGTTATTCAGCAATAAGATATATTAAATCACTGTATCATATAGAATCTTAATGTGGTATAAATTAGCAAATGTATTCACAGCATCATTCATTCAAATATTCCCAACCAGCAGTGGTTTGTTTAGATGTTAGCTGTCTCAGATTTTTTAAGTAGCAATATATTAAGAAAATTATACATGACAGGTTAAAAAACATCAATGTAATTATTTTACATCTGAGATACAGTCAGAAAGCTAGAAGGAACTTCTTTCACCACAGCTATGCCTGAACCTCCAAGTGTTCTCCATTTTTATTTTCTAATGGCAAGATATATTCATATTATTTTGGCACAGTATCTAAAATGCATTTTAAGGATAAAATTGTGCAGCTTAGTACAATGTCAATATTAATCTGCCTATTCACATTTTGACATTTCAAGAGGTGTAATTTTTAAAAATTTCTTTTCTGTCCAGGAACCCGAGTTCATCCCTTATTTTTTCTTTTGAAAATTAAGGATTTGTTTTTAGAAAAAAAAAAAAAAAAGACTACAGACTCTGAAGCCAGAAGGCCTGGGTTTGAATCTCAGCTCTGTCACTTACCAACTGCGTGACCTTGAGCAATGTATGGAACTTCTCTGGACCTCAGCTTCATCTGTGGAGGAGATAGCATGACACCTTCCTACTGGATCTGTGGTGCAGAATTGAATGGATTAATGAATTAAAACACAGAAAGTGCTTGGCACGAGGCCTGAAATACTGTTAAGTTCTCAATACATGTCGGTTAAGCGTCTGACTCTTGATTTTGGCTCAGGCCATAATCTCAGGGTCATGGGATCCAGCCCCACGTTAGACCCCACGCTCTGTGCAGAGTCTGCTTAAGATTCTCTCTCTGAGGGGCGCCTGGGTGGCTCAGTTGTTAAGCATCTGCCTTCGGCTCAGGTCATGATCCCAGGGTCCTGGGATCGAGCCCCACATCAGGCTCCCTGCTCCGCGGGGGGCCTGCTTCTCCCTCTCCCACTCCCCCTGCTTGCGTTCCCTCTCTCGCTGTGTCTCCCTCTGTCAAATAACTAAATAAAATCTTTAAAAAAAAAAAAAAGATTCTCTCTCTTCCCCTCTCCCTACCCACCCCTTCCTCCCCCTCTCTAAAAAAAAATAAAATAAAAAGAAGGAGAAGAATCCAAAGTTCAGCTAAGCTACCCTGACTGGGCAGCTCCCTGGAGCCAAGACACTGACCCAAGCCCCAGATGATTCTGATTTCCTCGCCCCTCCCAGCCTACCAAGGAGGTGAGCGGTCTCACTACCATTTTAAAGATGAAGACACAGGCCCAGACAGCCGATGGTGCTGGCCCTCAGTCACCCAGCTACCCAGCAGCCAACCTGGGATTTGCACCTGGGACCACCTGACCACAGGGATGCCATGTGGGGGGCAGGTAAGAGCATGATCTCTGGGACCAGGCTGCCGACTTCAGATCCCAGATCTGCCACCTGGGCTGTGGGACCCTGGGGAAGTTACCTAACTTCTCTGAGCTTTAGTGCCCTCATCTGTAAAATGACAATAAGAGCGCCTATCCCATCAGGCTACTGGAAGGTGTGGTGAGCTGAGGAGCGGCCCCCAAAGATGTCCACATCCTGATCCTGGAACCTGTGAATGTTAATTTACATGGCAGGAGGGACTTTGCAAATGGGATTAAGAATCTTGACATGGGGTGGGGGGGGCGCCTGGGTGGCTCAGTCGGTTGGGTGTTTGACTCTTGATCTCAGCTCAGGTCTTTTTTTTTTTTAAGTTTATCTTATTTGTTTGTTTGTTTGTTTGTTTGTTTGTTTATTTTTTAGAGAGAGAGCGGGAGGGGCAGAGGGAGAAGGAGAGAGAATCCCAAGCAGGCTCGATGATCAGTGTGGAGCCCATCTTGGGGCTCAATCTCACAACCCTGAGATCATGACCTGAGCCAAAATCAAGAGTCGGACACCTAACCAACTGAGCCACCCAGGTGGCCCTCAGTCCAGGTCCTGATCTCAGGGTTGTGAGTTAGAGTCCCGCATTGGGCTCCACGCTGGGCATGGAGCCTACTTAAAAAAAAAAGAGAGAGAGAGAGAGAATCTTGAGATGGGGCGATGATCCTGGACCATTTGGAGGGGCCCACTGTAATCCCAAGGGTCCTTAAAAGAGGGAAGCAGAGGGAGATTTGACACAGAACACAGGTGACATGTTATGTGGCCGGCACTGAAGGTGGAGGAAGGACCCACAAGCTGAGGAATGCAAAGAATACAGCTGGGAAATGTTTCAAAAAGGTCAGGAGATGGACTCTCCCCTAGAATCTCCCCAGGGAGTGTGGCCATGCTAACACCTTGATTTGGGCCCAGGGAGGTTGCTTCTGCATCTGGGACCCCCAGAACTGTAAGAGAATAAATATGTGTTGTTTGATGGCAGCAAGAGTCTCTTAGAACAGTGCCTGGAACACAGCAGATGCACTTAACAGTTATTTTTTTTAAGATTTATTTATTTATTTGAGAGAGAGACAGAGAGCACGGGGGGGGGGGGGGGGGGTTTGAAGGGCAAAGGGAGAGGGAGAGAGAAACTCCAAGCAAACTCCACCCTGAGTGCAGAGCCCCACACTGGTACGCTCTCATGACCCCAAGATCAATCAGGAGCTGAGCCGAAACCAAGAGTCCATCGCCTAACCCACGGAGCCACCCAGGCGTCCCTTCTCTGTTACTCTTGTAATTACCTGAAACACCCCTGGCCAGCCCATGGCCTCTGGCAACAGTCACAGTCACGGATGTTTGCTGCTTTATTGGTTAAAAGGCTGCTGTCTTTTCATTCACATCAGGGGCCTGATAGGCCTTGTTTATGCCCATTTTACAGAGAGGAAAACAGGCTCACCGAGGCTCCCCTGCACAGTGGGTCACAGCCACTCCAGTGGCTGCCATAACCAACGGCCACACATTGTGTGATTTATACCAGCAGAAGTGGGGCGCCCGGGGGGCCACAGTCGGTTAAATGTCCAACTCTTGGTCTCGGCTCAAGTCGGGATCTCAGGGTCGTGGGATTGAGCCCCACATCGGGCTCTGCACTCGGGGAGTCAGCTTGGAGATTCTTTCCCTAGGCCCTCTGCTCCTCTCCCCGCTCACGGGTGCTCTCTCTCTCTCAAACAAATAAAATATTTTTAAAAATTTAAAAACAGCAGAAGTGTATCTTCACAGTTCCAGAGGCCACAAGTCTGAAATCAAAGTGTGGGCAGAGTTGCCCCTTCCAGAGGCTCTGAGGGAGGATCTGTGCCAGGCATCTCTCCTAGCTTCTGGCAGTGGTCGGCAATTCTTCGCGTTCCTTGGTACACGCGTCACTCCGATCTCGGCCTGGGTCTTCACGTGGCCTCCCTCTCTGTGGCTCTGTGTCTTCTCCTTTTCTGTCTCTTCCAGGGACACCTGTCATGGGGTGTAGGGCCTCCCCTGCTCCCCAGATGATCACATCTCAAGATCCTTAATCGAGGTACATCTGCAAAGACCCTTATTCCAGAGAAGGTCACGTTCCCAGGTTCCAGCGAAGGTATCTTGGGAGCCACAATTCAACCCACGACGGCGGTGGCAGGGCCAGGATTGGAACCCAGTCCCAGGTCTTGCGAGCCTTCACATGGCCCAGCCCTCCATAGAGCCCTTCACACCAAAAGACGCTGCCCAGGACCCAATGGAGCCAATCTTAAGAAATGTCGCTCCAATGAATGGATAAAGAAGCTGTGGTATATATACACAATGGAATATTATGCAGCCATCAAAAGGAATGAGATCTTGCCATTTGCAACGACATGGATGGAACTGGAGGGTGTTATGCTGAGTGAAATAAGTCAATCAGAGAAAGACATGTATCATATGACCTCACTGATATGAGGAATTCTTAATCTCAGAAAACAAACTGAGGGTTGCTGGAGTGGTTGGGGGTGGGAGGGATGGGGTGACTGGGTGATAGACATTGGGGAGGGTATGTGCTACGGTGAGCGCTGTGAATTGTGCAAGACTGATGAATCACAGATCTGTACTTCTGAAACAAATAATGCAATATAAGTTAAGAAAAAAAAAAGAAGAAGATAGCAGGAGGGGAAGAATGAAGGGGAGTAAGTCGGAGGGGGAGACGAACCATGAGAGACGATGGACTCTGAAAAACAAACTGAGGGTTCTAGAGGGGAGGGGGGTGGGGGGATGGGTTAGCCTGGTGATGGGTATTAAATAGGGCACCTTCTACGTGGAGCACTGGGTGTTATGCACAATGAATCATGGAACACTACATCAAAAACTAATGATGAAATGTATGGTGATTAACATAACAACAAAAATTATAAAAAAAAAAAAAAGAAATGTTGCTCCAGAGGCGCCTGGGTGGCTCAGTCGTTGGGCATCCGTCTTCGGCTCGGGCCCTGATCCTGGGGTTGAGCCCCGCGTGCATCGGGCTCCCTGCTCGGCGGGGGGCCTGCTTCTCCCTCTCCCACTCCCCCTGCTTGTGTCCCCTCTCTCTCTGTCTCTCTCTGTCAAATAAATAAATAAATAAATAATCTTAAAAAGAAAGAAAAGAAATGTTGCTCCAGCCGCTGCACAATATTTTTGGTTCCATGAAACTAACACGCTCTCCCCCGTGCCTGGGCTGTGGCATAGGCTATTTCTCCTGCTTGGAAACCTCTTCCTCAGGGCTCAGCGCCGATGTCACTTCCCCCAGGAAACCCTCCTTGACCCGCAGCTAGGTCGGGTGCCACTCTGCGCTGTCCCCATCCCCCCCTGGATTCTCACATCCCAGTCCTGGCCTACTCAGGCCCTCACTGCCCAGGGTCAGCTCTGTGTCCCTCACTGGACTCTGAGACCTGTGGGGGCAGGGCTGGGGTTGTCGCTGTCACCACGGGGTCCCCAGCACTGTCCAGCACAAGGACACGTAGTTCTCGATACAAATGGAATCAGTAAAGCAACCTGGTTCTCCCAAAGCTTCTGTGTCCCCAACCCATTAGACCAGCAAGACCCAACCCCATCGAATCCCAAACGCCCTTTTATGACACAAACTCTTTGCAAAATACCCCTTGTACTATCCCGAAATGAAATGCCTAAACAGTATGTCCTACCTACATACATCTTTTTTTTTTTTAAGATTTTATTCATCCATTTGAGAGAGAACAGGAGCAGGGGGAGGGGCAGAGGGAGAGGGAGAAGCAGACTCCCCGCTGAGCAGGGAGCCCAATGCGGGGCTCGATCCCAGGACCCCGGGATCACGACCTGAGCCAAAGGCAGACGCTTAACTGACTGAGCCACCCAGGCGCCCCAATCTTTGTGGGGCTCGAACTCATGTCCCCAAGACCAAGAGTCGCATGCTCTTCCAACTGAGCCAACCAGGCACCCCTATATACATCATTTTTAGTGTAATAACCTAAATTTACCATAAGAGAGAAATTACAGAAATCGAAGGGAAGAATTTATAATAAAGCAACACACGTGAAAATGCATTCGTACGACG